CCTCTCCTCTCCTCCTCCCCCTCCTCCCTCCTCCCCCTCCCTCCTCCCTCCCCTCCCTCCTCCCTCCTCCCGTCATCCCCTCACTTTGACACACTTCTCACACGGTTCGTGGCCCTATAGGGAGCTCCACCGAAGGCCCCAGTGGCCGCGTCCGCATGCGGCCCCCCGCCCACTTCGGCACACCCTTCACACGTTTCGTGGCTCCATATGGGGGCTCCACCGAAGGTCTCATTAGCCGCGTCCGTATGCGCCCCCCGCCCATGCCGGCACACCCCTCACACGTTTCGTGGCCCCATAGGGTAGTTCTACCGAAGGCCACAATGGCCGCGTCCGCATGCGTTCCCCCGCTTATTTTGGCACACCCGTCACACTGTTCGTGGCCGCGTCCGCATGCGTCCCCCCGCCTGTTTTGGCACACCCCGCACACGTTTCGTGGCCCCATTGGGATCTCCACCGAAGGCCCCAGTGGCCGTGTCCGCATGCGGCCCCCCGCCCATTTCGGCACAAGCCTTCACACGTTTCGTGGCCCCATAGGGAGCTCCACCGAAGTCCCCGGTGGCCGCGTCCGCATGCGTCCCACCGCCCATTTCGGCACACCCCTCACACAGTTCGTGGCCCCATAAGGAGCTCCACCGAAAACGGTACCCACAATGTAGTACTCGCAGCTGCATGTGGTTCGGTCTTTCGTCAGGCGAATTCTCTATTTGGGAGTATGGTTTGATTACTTTTATTTTCCGTCCGATATCCGCCTGTAGGAGGACATGCCCGACCTAAAATTAGCCCTGGGGAGCGGGTTGGGACTTCCAGTGACCGCGTACTGGAAAAAAGGAAAAGACATCGCATGTCTGGTGGTAGGTCCCGAGGGTTGTGTCCTGAGCTTCTCGACCCATGCCTTCTCACCTTCCTATGGCAATGTAGCCTCGGAAGGGTCTTGTGTCCTCTCAATGACAGGAAGAGTCGACATCGAAGGATCAAAGAGCAACGTCGCTGTGAACGCTTGGCTGCCACAAGCCAGCTATCCCTGTGGTAACTGTTCTGACACCACTAGCTGAGCATGTCTCAGACCTGAATTATCGATAGGCCGTGTTTTCACAGTCGTATGCGTACTGGACATCAAAAACGAGAGGGCACCTCCCTATACGATTCGACGTTGTCCAACTCCAGCGCCGTGCCCCGATCTCGGCCGCGGGGACCCGCTGTGGGCCCGGGGGGCTATCAAAGACGGATCTGGGACGTACACCTGCGCTTGAGTCGGGCATGTCCCCCCCCAGGAGAAATATTCGAACATAGTTTTTTTAAAACAGTCGGGCGACGACTTTCCAACGATCTCTGGCTACTTTTGATTATTCGTTCCACCAGTTTCAGTTTTTCGCCCCAGATCCGCCTGTAGGGGGACATCCCCGACCTGAGGCGATCAAAACGGATCTGGGACGAAAAACTACGCGGACGGCATCCCTGGGGCCGCGCATTGAAACCAGTACATCGCAGGATGTCTGATCGAAGCGGGTACGGGAAGACCGGTGGCAAAGACCAGGCGCACGGGGTCCTCGATGCGGCCGCCGTGGTTATCGCCATCGTTTCTGGCCGGCCCGATCCGATTCGGTTACGATATCCTGGTGATTCCTGTCGGCCCGATGTTTGCACAGCGTAGGTTTGTGGATGCCATGACACTGGACACTCTAACAATCCTATCATTGAATTACATATGTGCTTAAAATGTGTAAAACATGTTCTGAACATGTTTAAACTAAGGGTTTTCACATGGCTAAAATAGTTCCAGCACAGTTTCTAGGCATCTGGAAATCATTTGGCAACGTACTTCCTCTCAATGGATCGTCCTCCAAAAAGCGTAGGCGTGGTGTATCTGGGGGTCGTCGATTCGCTTCGATGCTGGCTCTTCGCCGATGCAGCCCGATCCGACGCACAGCCCGATCCGACCCGATTTCGGGCACCGTCCGACGGGTAACGCTCGGACCACTCACGCTCCGATCCACTCATTTGCGGGACGGGAAAATGACCACAGCCACTGCTTCTTGTTTGCGCCGCCTTCCAGCCGGCCGAACAAGAAGCAGTGGTTGTGGTCATCTCCCTGGTGCCAAGCTCAACGAAAATGACCACAACCACGGCTTTGTCTCTGCGGGCTGGAAGGCGGCAACATACGAAAAGCAGTGGCTGTGGTCGTTTTGACGCCCCGTATCATACTCGACTTCGTCGCATTCAGACTCGGACAGCCAGTCACGCTCCGATCATTCGCAGTCCGGCTCGCATACACTCAGACTCGCCCACGCTCAGGCCAACCAGCCCGGACGGGTGCCATTCCTACCCCTCTCCTCCTCGGCTTCGTCGCTTCCTCCCCTCCCGGAGCCCCATGATCACCGCGATGTGGCAGGCGCATGGTGCTCTTGGGCCCTCCACGGGTGGGCTGCCAGGGGGCTGTTCGTTTGCTCCCCCTTTCGCGGCCAGATTTTGGGGGGGGCTCATGAGGCGAGTCGCCCTCTTTCGGCCCTTTTGGGCTTCACCGATTCCTCTCCATGACTACCGTTAGGTCGGGCATGTCCCCCATAATTACAGGAGGATGTTGGACGAAAAAATGTAAATAGCCCAGAAATATACAACAACTATCCAAATATACAAAAAAACGGCCCCCATTTTTTGTTATTTTCTTAATTCCTCCTGTAGAGGGACAGGCCCGACTTACGATTACCGCGACGCAGCAGGCCTGGCACTTGGGCACCCCAAGGGGGAGCTGCCGGGGGGGGGCAGGACGGTTGCCCGGTCGCGGCCAGCCTGTGGGAAGCTGTGAGGTCGCGCTCCCCCCTTTCTCGGGTCCCTTCCCCACCAGGAAAAAAAACCAGGGCCTCGACAAATTTGTTTTGCATTTTTTTGAATTATTGATTGGTGGAGACAAACGCGGTCGTCGCCGCGCCATTGCCCTGATTTAGCAGTTTCGGTCGACGGACGCACGCGAAGCGCGCGAGTTCCCCTCCTTTCAGCAGGCAATCGCAAGCATGGATCAAGAGGGCGTGCATCAGCGACGGGTCCCGTTTCCATGGGAAGTCGCGGACTCCCGCCGCCGAGCGAGGCGGCACCGGCCGCATTTTGGGGAGGGCGCCGCCCCCGATCCATGGATCTGGCGACCGCGCGCCAGGTCCGTGGATCGCTAATCCATGTTTGCGCGCCCCCGACTCCCGAGCGCCATGATCATCGCGATGCAGCAGGCATGGTTTCTGGGCACCCCAGGGGGGAGCTGCCAGGGGGGAGGGCACTTGCCCATTCGCGGCCAGCCTGTGTGAACTTGTGAGGCCAAACTCCTCTTTTGGCTTCACCGACTCCTCTCGTTTCAGAGCGCCGTGCCCACCGCGATGTAGCAGGCATGGTATCTGGGCACCCCAAGGGAGCTGCCATGGTGCAGCATGCGGCGGCAGCGGGAAGGCGGCATATTGCGGCAGAGAGAAGCCAAGAGGAGGAATCAGATCTGGACTTGCGCAACGGCTCGTTCTGTGGTCGCTGGTAGGGCTCCCCCCCGGGTTCGACGGGGGGGAGCAGGGCCTCCCTAACATGGCTCCGGGCTCCGTTTCGCTGATGACGTCGGGCTTGCGTGTCGCCTCGAGCTTCGCGCATCAACAACTGAGGTTGCTGCCGCTGCTCTGCCTTCTCGCACGAACGAATCTGTCCCTCTAGGCCTCCTAGATGGGGACGGAGTACATGGGGTCGGAGGATCGCGCCGCATCGCCGATGCATCGCCGATCGGGCTCCATGTGGAGCCCCATTTGCTTCATGTCGACGTCGCCGATGCATCGCCGACATCGACGATGCGTCCCCGGTGCATCGCGTCGACGACACATCGCCGATGTATCGTCGATGCGTCGGCGATCTGGCGCGATCCTCCGACCCCGTCTGCTCGGACTCCATCTAGGATGTCTCTGCTCCCAGCCCTGTGGCTGATGACGTTGGCCCGCGCGGGCTCTCA